TTTTTTAAGTTGGTGTTCCAGTCACCTGTTGAAGAGGTGCCGGGATCTGTGTGTTTTCCTGTGCGGCGACTCACTGCGCTGGCTTAAACAGTGGCACTGAGATTCGTGGCACTTTTTTTGCCCTGGAATCCACTGTCCTGGTTCCCTGTTCAGTCCCCTTTTTAAATAGATGAATGGGCGACTTCCAGTGGCTCCAATCGCCAGCCAAAAGGGCGCCCAGAGCAGTGTATTTTGTACAGAGAACCGCTGCGCTGGGGCGCTGACAAAGCAGCCACGCGGGGCAAAGCAGCCACGCCGGCCAACACAGCCGTGCTGGCGACCCGTGGGGCTCTTCTGCCTGGGAATTTCCTCGTCTTTGGGCAATAACAATGTGGCGCCCACTCACCCTCTGTGCTTTCACTGGGAGCTGCAATCCTGAGCTGTTCCTAAATGGCCATCTTGGATCGATCAAAACGACAGTATACTTTAGAAAAAAAACAAACCAAATTTGAAAGAATAATTTTGGTAGTTGTTTTTGGACTTGATCCACGGTATAGTATTATAGTATGGCTTGGAGTTTTTATTATGATTCCAGCCAGGACATCGACATGGATATACTAAAGGGAAAGACCCTGAGAGTGTGATGCACAGACTAGTGGAGTGATGTTTCACAATGTCTTATTTCCTACATTGTTGATACTCACTGCTGGCTTCATTTCCTCCATCATATTCTAAATTATCTCTAGAAGTGTAACTCTTACCAACCCAGTTTTTTAAAAAATGCATCCTCAGTTATTTTCTTAGAAGGATGGAACACACATTCATGCATATGATAGAAAGCCACATAACTTTAGAAAGTTTGGTAGTTACTGCCCAAAGCTGTCTTGAAATGAAATATGTATATATGTCAAGAGAAATTATAAATGAGACTGCCAACAGTGACTATATCTGGAGGGTAGAACGAGGGGGGAGTCAGGGACTTCAACTCATGTTGATTTAAAATTATTTTGAATAGAGATTATCTGGTGTAAAGTTATTAAGATATAAAATGGTATGCCATGGAAAGAGTCCTTTCTTGCTCTGTCCCCCAGATACTCAGTTTCCCTCCCCAGAGGCAACCATGATGAACTGTTTCTGGCATAACTCAAGATACTGGGTGCATGTAAAAGCAAATGCCTATTTCTTCCTGTTTTTCTACACAAAATGTTTTCCATTATTCACTTTTAAAACAAAAAAAAAAAATTTAAGAAAGCAACAGTGCTATATGAGTTTCCAAAGAAAGATTAAGACAGTGAGATGTAGATAAAGAGAAAGGTTAGAGTTTTCATTTGCTGGTCTTACCAGGCATTCTAAAGAATGTACATAAAAGGAACCAGAGTTAAGAACTCTGTTCTGTATCTTGAATTAACTTGTATGTTTCAAAGAATTTGGGAATATAGAACATGGTTAGGGATTAATGTAGTCTGAACTTAGTGTAGTAGTTACCTCTAGTTTAAAATAGTATGTCAATTTCCTTTTCATCTTAAATAGACCTAAGTAACAAATATATGTGTTGTTTGCTTGACATTTTACATAAAAGAAATTTAATATATGAATTATAATTGTGGATTTTTAGGATATATCACATTAATTAAAACAGTGAATAATATGGTACATACATAGAATGGAATATTATTTGGCCTCAAAAAGGAAGAAAATTTTGACTCTTGCTTCAGTATAGATGAAGCTTGAAGACATTATGCTAAGTGAAATAAGCCAGCCACAAAAGGACAAATACTGTATTATTCCAGTTACATAAACTTTCTAGAGTAGTCAGATTCATAGAAACTAGGATGGTAATTGCTAGGGTGAGGGGGAAGAGGGGATGGGAAGGTATTGTTTTATGGGTACAGAGTTTTAGTTTGAGATGAATAAAAAAAAAAGTCATCTTACATTTTATCAAGATAGCATATTGAAAATCTAATAGAAAAATATTTATCTGCTATAATATATTATGCCATAGGTGTTATCTTCAGGAAGGCACACTGGACCTGCTAAATTAACAAATGGGAAGAAAGGGTAAGTACTTAAAGACATTTACAACTTCAGATTTCAAGACATTTTTCAGGCCTTTGGGCTGGGTGACATGTCATCTACCCCAGAAAATTAGGTAAGCCTCTAGCATCACACGCTCTGGGGAACAACTTTTCATATCTACCTGTGTTAATCATTCTAGTGTTTAACAGTCTTTCTAATCTTTAGAATGTGCTTATAAATTCATCTTGTACCTGGTGGGTCAAGCTTTCTTGTCTAGTCTTTGCTGGAAAGAAAATGACTAATGTATTTTGGGAAAAAAATATAAGAATATTAATGAGCTTATTTTCCAGGACCCATTTAAGAAAAATATCACATTTTAAGGCAGATTCTGGCTATTCCATCCATTCTGATTCAGAAAGTCAGGTAAGATTGAATAGATACAATACACACTAATTAGTTTTCAGGTAGAAGCTAAAAAGTAGGAATAAAATGCAAAGTATTAATTGGTCTAAGGAAGTATGAAGTCTGTTGCTTTAAAACATGTTTTCTACCTATAATAAATTGCTTGTAAATAAAGAAATTTAAAACTACATAATGTATATTTTTTTCCTATACTAACAGTTATATACAAATGTATTCTAAATGACTTTATTCCTTACAGGCTGAAACTCTTCATGGGCTTGATGGTTGTGCTTCTTTGCTGAGGAACATTTTGAGAAATGAAGATTCAGGTTTATTTTTTTAAAAGCTTCTTTGCTGAATACCTTTTCTCAATTAAGTCATTATTTTGATATTAACAAATTTTTGTTTTATTAATAGGTTTAGAAACAGCATATTTAGAAAACAGATCTAATTCTAGACCTTTAGACAGCAGAAAATATGGATCTAAAAAGAAAAGACATGAAAAACATACTGTTCCTTTCATAGTCCGGAAAGAAACATGTGAGCCTTTTTTTCTCTTATTTAAAGATAATCCTTAATTGTGGGTATTTTGATCAATTATCAGGATTATGCAGTTCATTTTAATAATCAATATTGGTTAGGTTTATGTGTGCTTATGGCTGTCTTTTTTTATTCAGCTTCTAATTGCTGAGTGGTTATATAAAAAAAGACTGGGTTTTATGGGAGAAAAAGTTCAAACTCAGAATGACTTTTGGGAGATTATATATAGAGTTAGTTTCCCCTGCCACTTGTTTTCACAGATAATCACAAATTGGCTGTATTTCAGGTGTATACTTATAGTTGTTGCTTTAAAATTATTATATATATACTAAGTTGGTCAAGCTGATTTCAAGTTACACAGTTAGGATACATGGTGCATAAGAAGGCATAATTGGATCAATAAGGAAAGAGCCTCCTTCTCATTGATGGTGAATGTAGCCAAGGGCACTTTACACCCTGACGGCTAACTTTTCCTGGTTTAGAACAAGAAAGTTTTGATTTTGTTGTCCCTTGGAGGCCTAGAGAACAAGATAGCCTAAAATGAAGATGAAAAAGTCCACAAAGAGAATTCAGATGGATGAGAATTAGACTAGCCACTTCTATAGTTCAGGTGGGCCAGAAATGTCAGCACTGTAGTGCAAGCTTAGATTCAGCTTGGGCAAGGAATGAAGTTTAGAAAGTCATCTAAGGCAGTAACCCTGTGTCTTAAGAGATCAGAATTCAAGCAAGGAGGCTGAGAAAGAGTAGAGCATTCATGGGACTAGGAGTTGATGTTTCAGATAGTCCCAGGATAGAGAACTAAGGCAGGGGAAACCTAACTCATCTTGGAGGTCAGTAACATTAGCCTTATACTGTCTTGACCTGCACTATTCAAGATGGTAGCCATGGCCACATGTGGCTATTCAGCACCTGAAATATGACTAGTACAACCAAGGAATTGAATTTTTAATGTTATTTAATTTAAATTAATTTAAAATGAAATTCTAAAACTGAAAATTGATCCAGGTATTATAAAACTTTTAAGTATGTTTGGAATAACTTGGGCATGTGAACCTACCTTTTCAAGTGTAAATTTTATTAAATCTAAATATAGACCAAGTATTTCTGATGATAATTTAGCATCTAGATGGTGCTTTGTGTAAAATACATGCTAGATTTAGAATAAGTACAAAAAAATTCAGTTATTTATATTATACACTGAAATGTTAACATTTTTGATATATTTACTTAAATATGAAAAGTAATTTTACCTCTTATGTGGTTACTGGAAATTTTAAGTTACATATATGGTTTGTATTGTATTCCTATTGGACAACATTGGTCTAAGTCAGCTAAGCACACTACAGCCAGTTTTATAAGTAATGTTTAGTTATTTTATTTTGTAAATAAGATTTTATTAGAATGCAGCCAAGCTAATTTTTTGTGTTTTTATTAGCTGTTTTTGTACTGCAGCGGCAGTGTTGAGTAGTTGTGACAGAGATCGTCTGGCCTGCTAAGCCTAAAATATTTATTTGACCTCTTAAGAGTGCTAAACCCTAGTCTTAACTCTTCAAGTTGAGGCCTTTTTATTGCGGCCCAATTGAGAAAGAAAGGAGCGATAGCACCTGTTCCTGCAGTCTCCTACTTTTTGTCTGTAGGCGGGTTATTTCTTATCCAGGGCACCTTTCCTCAAGGAACTATTATTTAAGATATATGTGGCTGAGAGTGGGTGTCGTGGTAGCAACTTGTTGGATCCTGACTTAGCTGCTTCTGTCAGTCAGAGTTCCAACAGGAAACACATGGCAACACTCAAATTGAGGTAATTCGAGGAGGGTTTATTTTATTTACAAAGGGACTCATTGTAAAGGTATGAGTAGGGCATAGGAAAACCACAAGTTTTGCCTGCTGGGTCTTGCTAGCAGCAGCAGCAGAGCTGTTATCATCTCTAGGTCATAAGGGATTAGGAGAGTTACTAGACCTAGAAAGAGGTATTGCTTATAGAATATGCTACCTTGAGAAGAGCAGTTAGCTTCATTGAAAGGACAAAGTCAGCCCAAGGTGACCTCATAGAAAGGGAGCAGGGTAAGTGTATATCCTGACTTCATGCTTCTTCCTTTTCTTCATATGCCAAGACTCCCATTGGATTGAAGCCCTACTGATGTATATCAGGTCTGGAATTTGACTCTTACAAGCTAGTAAGTTAGTTTCACTGTATCATGGATGCTAGCAGAAGACACAAAACTACTGGTCAGAGACAAAGGACTTCATTACTCACAGCACAGGAAGCAGTATGTGCATCAGCATATTTCTGTTGGTTCTCATTCACCCTAATTCCCAATGGAGTGATTCGGTGGATCCAAATGGATGCTGCACATCCTTTAGGTGTAGGTTGCAGCTGAGGAACACTAAGCTTGGGGAATCTGCCACTTTGATAGTAAGCAGTAATCAAGCCTGTGCTTGCCCCAGAGGGAAATATTACCTTATCCCTCAAGGTTGCTCACTGCAAACACAACCCTGAGAAGTGGCCCAGGTAAAGAGCTTAGGTCAAAGCCTTGCTTTTTTGGTATATACAGCAAGACATATTAGCAGGAGGAGTGATCCATGAAGTACTGTCTCTTTGTAATCCATATAGATCAGCATTCCAGGGAGAGCAAGGTGAAGACCAGTAGAGGTGGATTTGGATTGGCAGATGGAAGATCCTGGCATTCTGGGTCGGTAGCATTAAATTCTTATTTGGATTACAGCCGAACTGGCAGTTCTGGCTTGTGATCAGGGTGCAGTATTCTTACTGTGTTTCTCCCATATTTTCATAATTAAAGGGAAGGACCTACTTCCATAGGACAGTCTGCCTTAGGGTTGCAATATTAGAAATTATTTCCTAATTTCTAAGTGTTCCTAGGTTTAACTCATTAGAAACCTCTGACTGTTCGATTCAACTGCTCTGTTGTTTTTGTAATTTACCAAATTGTAGCACTTTCTAGAAACAAACGTGTGTGTGTGTGTGTGTGTGTGTGTGTGTGTGTGTGTGGTTGGCAGCTGTTAACCAATTATACAAGATTTTGCTCGTTACTACAATGCTTATAAAATCCAAACTCATCGCTTGTTCTCTTTACCACCTCTCTCCAAGTGAGGTAATTGTAAAGAACTTTAAGGAATCTATTACAGCATGTTAACTAGTATCTATGTATTATTTTACTTTTAACACATATTATCTTGATATTTTGTGTTAACTGTCTTCTGGGGAATGACCCCCCCCCCCATATATTTTCTATCTGGGACCTGTCTGATCATTGGATGCCTATGGAGTCAGGTATGCACACCATGATGCATTCTGGAAGTAAGGAGGCAGAGAGGCCCTTCCAGAAATGTGTTGAGCTTATTTGAGAGTGCTTTAGCATTTAAAAAACTTTTTTTAATAAGCAACTTTTATATGTGATAACTGCGTTGAATGCTTTCATGATTTTGCTTTTAGTAACATATATATATATTTCCATCTTCATCTTGAGGAACTATATCAACCACAGGCAGAATCCTTTGAGCACTGATTTCCCCTCATAAGGCCAGTTATAGTAGGCATCCAGTGGCTCTTACCTGCTCTAGGTGTTTGTTCTGTATTTGAGTGATGGGAATTACTTCCTGTCAGACGGTGCTTGTCCATCCAAGCAATAGCCAGTGCTTGCACAGCAGCTAGACTTTAGTGACTGAAACAGCTTTGTGGACTGAGTAAATGAATTCATTCCTTGCATGAATTCTAGTTATCACCTGACATCACTTAAACACATTGCCAGACCAATAGCTAAAATTTTCACGTAGAGTGCGTTGGTGTAATTAACAGGAGCAAGTAAATATGCTTCATTTGTATTTGTGTAGTAACAGGCTCATTTGGTCATTGTTTTATTTTAAAATCGTGTAGTAGTAATCAAACTACAGTCTTTGCCTTATATCCATTTATGGTTTTTAACTTGGATTGTTTGCTTTAAGACTTTACATCATTAAGTTACTCAACATTATCGGTAGAGTTTTGTATGGATTCAGTTTATAAAGGAGTGAAATATGTCCTTTTAGCTCTAAGGCTTTGATTTTTAAGAAATAGGTTTGGAGTTTATTAATTTATGTTGGACAATGACATCTGCTGGCTGAGGCATAATATAGCTCAGCTTTATTAAAGACTGCGAAAACCACTCCTTGAAAAGAAAGCAAATGAGATTTCCAATGCTATGACCTATGTGTGAAAATAGATGTCTTCAAACTAGCCAATTCTCTCTCTCTCTCTCTCTCTCTTTTTTTTTTTTTTTTTTTTTTTTTGATGAGATAGAGTTTAGCTCTTATCTCCCAGGCTAGGGTGCAGTAGCACTATCTCAGCTCATTGCAACCTCCGCCTCCTGGGTTCAAGTGATTCTCCTGGCTCAGCCTCCCTAGTAGCTGGGATTACAGGCACCTGCCACCACAGCCAGCTAATTTTTTGTATTTTTAGTAGAGATGGGATTTCACCACATTGGCCAGGCTGGTCTTGAACCCCTGACCTCAGGTGGTCCACCCACCTCAGCCTCCCAAAGTGCTTGGATTATAGGTGTGACCCACCACACCTGGCCCAAACTAGCCAATTCACAAGGACCAGAGGAAATCCAAGAGCAGAAGGAAAGACCCAAGAATCAAGAGGAAAGGACTTGTGGTGTGCTCGATGGCCATGGGCTATGATCTTGCTCTCTACTATTTTAGATTTCAAAGTTAAAATATTTTAGAGGGTACTTTTCCATTTATTATAAAATTGTATTTCCAGTAAAAAGTAGTATTTGCTTTACAGAAGTTTATTAACCAGTTTTGTTTGAGCTGATCTGTTCAAATAGTGAAGGTAACTCTTACTGCTTTTGAGTCTAATCATCTCAGAAGGGACATGTTTAGAGGTTTATTACTGACATCAGATAGCAAGATTTATGAATATATTTACTTGTCTATTGTGTGAGTACAGCTAGTTGGTGATATTTAACATTTATTGAGTTTTTATTGTGTGCTGGACATCAATTT